AGCGGTTCAAAACCCCTTATGAAAAAATCTACATCAAGGACCGTGATGTCGCCTGGTATGGCGCAACCAGGGCCCCACCCTGGAGCCAGGCCCGGGGTCGGGGCTCGAATGCGAGCGCCTGGTGGCCGGGCCTATTCCCAAGGGGCCCGGCTGGGCTTAGTCCGAACGAGCGACGTGGGGACGTTCTCCCATGGGCCCACCACCTGCAGGAGGATTCGTAAGGGGCTGGTGCACAGTGGATTGGGTAGCAGTCGACGGCAAGGGCCCTGACGACCCGATCTCTGGACACAGAGACTAGCCCTGAGTTTTATAGAAAAGGAAATAACTATCACAAAATGAATTAAAATAAAAGAAATGAAAAGTCAAGCAAACTGTAAAGCCACAGACCCTAATATCCATTAGCATTTAACTTTTAAATTGCAATGTAAAGCCTAAAACAGTATTGCACAACAAACTGGGCGTTTAAATAATTTAGAGACAGTCTGTGTAACATACACTGCACACACTCTTGAATTATTACAAAATAACATTTTAATCACATTCTGCTGAAGTGAACGAAATGACTTGAAAAAAGATTTGTTCATATTGCTGAACGAGATTCAACCAAATCAGTAAAATGATCCGAACGTCCTATCACTAGTTCGTCGAGTTTTCAAAAATAACCATAGAAAAGCCGGAAACAACAAGTTGCTTTTAAAATAAAGGCGCAAACGTATCACATGAAATCTGATTGGAACTAAAGGAATTGAAAAAAAAATCAAATTTCTAGAAATGTCCTCAACATTTGCACATAAGTATGTTTTAATGTGCTTTATGTACTCTGTGTTATTTTACCCCAGCTTTTGTACTTTCTGGTTATTTTTGGTTTGAATAGACAACGACACTGTGGTTAATGGTTGTGTTAACGACTTTGTGACGAATATTTGATTTGAATTGATAGAAAATTTAATTGCCTGTGATATTTACGTTGATGCTCAATTGTTTCTTTCATGGTATTAGGCTTTACTTTAAAATTTTAAGATAAACCGGAAGTGCCGTGATTTCACTCCAGCCCAGCAGGTGGCTTGCAAACCGCCAATGAACGTCACAAGAAGAAGAAAAATGCCGTATTTGGTTCACTTAGCTAACGTTTCCCTTGTAACAAGTCCGCTTTACATACTATTTTTTTACTTTGGGGATAGAAAGCCTTTACTGATGAAATATTAGATAAACTTTAGAGCAGGTATGGCTAAAGAACAACAGCCTAATTGGTCGGATGTTCTTAAAAGGAGGATAGCAAACTCCAAAAAAGGTAAGAAATACTGTAGATTTCATTAACGTATTGGCTGACGACAGTTAAGCTAGCATACGTATTTTGGACTGAATATATCGATCTAAAATCACTTAGCTATTAGTTATCATATAGCCAGGTACCTTTCATTTTACTGGCCGTTTTATATGTTGTTCTTGGTCCACATGTCCCTGTTGCTTTACAGATGAGAGAAGTGAAGAGGAAAAGACAGCAGAAGAAACGGAGCTGTTCACCAAGTATTACACAGAGTGGAGGGGAGGAAGCGACAAAGACAAGTCCTACAAGAACATCCCACGATTCTACTACAGGGTATTATTACCTGACCTGACCTTTGTAATGCCAAAGAAAACTGCTGTCATTCATGTAGTTTTGATTACATTATGATGCAAGGCGAAACTCTGTGCACTACCAAATCCCCTTAACCACATTTGTAACAGTAAATTAATGTTTTAAAAGTTTAAGTGGCCAATTCCAGTCCTCGAGGGCCGCTGCCCTGCTTGTTTTCCAACTATCCCTGCCTGACCTGCTGTTGATTACCTGGCTCAGGTGTGTTCAGTCAGTCAGAAGCTACCAATTCACTTTATCTTTCCTCACTCCACTTTCATCTAAGATGGTATCTTCCAGCTTCTGACTGACTGAACATACCTGAGGCAGGTAATCAGCAGCAGGTCAGGCAGGGATAGTTGGAAAACAAGCAGGACAGCAGCCCTCAAGGACTGGCATTGGCCACGTGACTCTAGAGTCACGTGATTTCCGCTCTGGCTTTGTGTGTTTTTGACCACTTTCCTGTCGGTTTACAACAAAGAAATGATCCGTCTACAATTTCAATAGTAGGTTTATGTGAACAGTGAGAGACACAACAATAACATTCAGAAAAATGCATTACAAAAAAAGTTATACATTAATTTGCATTTCAATGTATAACTTTTTTTGTAATGCATTTTTCTGGATTTTTTTGTTATTGTTGTGTCTCTCACTGTTCACATAAACCTACCATTGATATTGTAGACTAATCATTTCTTTGTTAGTGGGCAAACTTACAAAATCAGCTGGGGTTCAAATAATTTTTTCCCTGACTGTATGGTCATGTAGATTTTGATCCTAAATAATACAAGTACAAAATAAATGTAGACAAGCTAGCATTCATAGCAAAACAAGCCAGTGAAGTGCAGTTGTAGGAGGACTAGCAGAGTTTTATTATGGATTGATGATGTTCCACATCTCAATTGTCTTTCAGTGTAATGATTGTAACAGTGATGATAATGTCTTAACAAATCAGAGTACAGCAGTAACACTGAAACATTAGAGGTGGTGGTAGTGATGTTGATGATTATGATGTGGAGCATGTTATTATAAGTTTCAGGCAGAGTATGGGGTGCTACAATACAGGCTTGATGTGCAGAAGTGAATATAACTCATGTGATGATGATGATTTTCTGCAGCTGCCAGCTGAGGATGAAGTATTACTACAGAAGCTGAGAGAGGAATCCAGAGCTGTCTTCCTCCAGAGGAAGAGCAGAGAGCTGCTGGATAATGAAGAGCTACAGGTAAAACACACATTTTTAAACTTTTTATAGAATTTTCAACACCAGGAAACATAACATAAACACACCAAAGACAGCATATCTCAAGCTGTAAGTAGTTAGATAATGAACTGGCATGTGGACATGCAGGTTACATGAGATGAATTTACACAATAGTCAAGTCAAGAAGTCAAGAATCTTTGTCATTATGCATAGCACAATGACATTTTTTCCGGCAGCTCTCGGCTTAAAAGACAGACATATTAGTTACATAACACACAATTGTATAAGTCAATATAAAAATATGAACAAATAAAGAAGGATGTATGGGACCTAATCAGGTCAGCAGCATGTTAGCAGCAAGAGTGTAGTAACATTATAAGGTGCAGCTCAGTGCAAATCTCAGTCTTTAGGAAGAGGTGTGAGTGTTCTGTGTCTGTCCATAGGGGGGAGGTTGTGTGTGTGACTAGGGGTTGAGGGGGTGATTGATTTCACAGATCTGGGGAAGAAGCTGTGTCTCAGTCTGTTTGTTTTAGTCTTTATATTCCTGTACCTTTCCCTGGAGGGAAGAGGCACAAACAGACTGTTGCCTGGGTGGGTGGGGTCTGCAGCAAT